AATTTTTTTCATTTGACATAATACTTTAAATATTTCGACTTGTATAAATAAACTTGCTTTTATTTCAAATATTACTTTTCTTATACTATTTTAAGTATTACGTATTTGAAAATTTTATTTTAATTTATTTCTAAAAAAATTTATTTTATTCTTGTTCTTAAAAATAATTCTAATGATCTAATAAAATATGAACAAAGGCAGACTCTAAAAATGATAAGTTTATAAGAAAGAAAGGAATAAAAAAATAATACGTTTGTATAAAAATGGAAATAGTATTTAAATATTTTATTTTCCATGAGAGAGAATAAGATTATTTCAATTAATTATTTAAAAACTCTAAGAAAAAATACTATTTCAAATAAGATTTTAATTAACATAGAGATATGATTATTTTATATTAACTATTTTTGTACGCTGAGAGACGAGAGAAAAAAAAATTTAATAAATAAATTTATAGCATAAAAAACACAAATAATCATAAATGTAAATATTTCCATTTTTCATTTTAGATACTCTCATCTATTTTATGCCTATCTCTGTCGTTCAAAAATTTGTTTGAGAAGAAATATTATAAGTATTATTTCCATCCTGGGAAAAAATTGTTTATATATAATTATATTTATATATATGAAGAAATACTTATTTATTATATATATAAATTTATATAATTATATAATTAATGTAAGAAACACGTTTATCTAATTATGTATGGACATATTTCATATATAATTTTGCGATTATATGTATAATTTTATATATTTCTCTATATAATTTTATATTGTTATATGTAAAATTTTGTTTACCGGGATGGATCTTCTTGCAAGAGAAAATATATCAAAATTCACTGGATATGGAGGTACATTTCAGATTTTCGATGAACATTAAATTAATTGAATAAATCGATACAAGTTACTAGATTTCGATACAAAGTTGCCGATGTAGAGGAAAGCGCTCAGTTGCAATTAATTGCCTGTAAGGTGACCGTCCTCTCTCTTACCCTTACCAGAACAGGCAACGGCAACACGCCATTAGATTATATGCATCGACGTTGTTGTAGTGCAGTTTATTACTGTGTTACTACGCGCGAAGGCAAAGGGTAGTGGAACTGAGCTGCACATTTTGTGCATCGCGTTACAATCCTCGGTGGCCAGGACTGGTCACCAAGAAAGCGATTCCCTTAGACTGTCCAAGAACTTAAGATGTACAATATTCGTACCGTACAAGAGATTAATAACTATTAATACTTATTCATTCCTTCAAACGTTTAATTTGTCTAATTTTAGGAAATAATTTAGCTTTGATAAGAAATTCTTTTTTCCTTTTTATTTCGGATATTTGCATTCAAGTATCGACTATTAATAATAGTATATTAATAGTAGATAATAGTATATTAATAATAGATGAGAAATTCTTTCTTTGTTTTTCATTTTGAATATTTGTATTATTAATAATTTGTGTTATTAATAATAGTCGATACTTTAATACAAATATTCAAAATAAAAATCAAAGAAAGAATTTCTTATGAAAATTTCCTAAATTACTTCCTAAAATTAGAAAAATTAAACGCTTAAAGAGATGAATAAGTGTTTAATTAAATTTGGACAGGAATGAATTTTTCATTTCAAAAAGACGTAATAATCCAGAGAATATAAAAATACAAATATTGCGTCGCAAAAAATCCGAGATCGGAATAGTTGGAAATTGGGAATTACAATAAAAAAATTAGAAGAATAGAAAAAATATATCTAAAATTAAAAATAGAATTCTTTTCGGATCTTCAAGCTGTTTGAAGCTAAAAAAAAACTTAAAGGAACCTATATGTAATTTATCGATTACTTTTGCAGAAGCGCGTTAGATGGTGATTTTTTTTACTTCAACGTGAAATTAATATACTATTGCGTCAATTTCGCCTCCGCTTTATGATGACGGCAGTTTCCTGCCGTTGACAAGCAAAAGAATATATATCGGCGGATTATTAATTTTTTCTTTCCCAATGTGTAGACTCATGTTACAATCACGACGTTATTCAGAAAGACGATGTTGCTCTGAACCGCAGCTTTTGACTTTACCACCTTCGGGAGCGACATCAAAGACTCGCAACGATAGTCAGAGACTCGTTGAAATCGCTTATCCCTTTCTCTGTGTCTCTCGTGAATTCTGAAAATAACGAGGCGAGATAGAAGAGAGAGATGAAACAGAGCGCGGTAGCAAAGTATTTTTATTTTACCTTTGGGAATTTTCCTCGCACTGTGAATTCCAGTTCTCGCGCTGCGTTTACGAGCCATTTCGATTTAACGGTAGAATAAATCGTGGCAAAATGAAATTGATCCACTTTAACGCGTAATATCATTTATCCGCTAAAAATGTTTCGTGGAAATCGAGATATGGGAATAAGAAACGAAACTTTCACCTTTTGTTCGTCGTTTCAAAAGGGAAGACTCTCGGAGAAATTTAATTCGAAACGTTCCCACCAAAATATGATCTAATTTTTAATAAGACAAAATTTCCCTTAATCCTTTAGTTTGCTTTATTTCTCTTCGAATTCAATATAACGAAAAGAAGACAGATATCGAAGTGAGGAAAAAAAAGGAAGGCGCGTCGAGTTTCTAGATTTGATACACTGAGAGTAACAGGCTACGTGATTATTTAAAAAAAAGGGAGGAAGGGAAAGAAAGATAGGACACAGTTACGCTCTCTGTTATCGAGTTCAAATTGCAAGTTCGCAATTGCAAGGCTTTGCACGGAAAAGCTCTCTTTTTTTCGCGAGGTAGCGTGATTGTAAAGCATCTCCATGCTCGCATCGCGTTTAATTACAGAGACCCACGGGGCGGCGGACTTGTTATCCGTCAGCTTGTCATTATTATCGTGATTGCGAAAGCTCGGACGTACGAGGTGACGTATCGTCCCAACAAGTCGGAAATAAAAGCTCGACCCTCATCGCGAACAATTCCGCCGCGAAACAATCGAGCTAGCTGATAATGGATTTTTAATCGAATCTACCTCCCATGGCTTTTGAGCTCCAATTATACAACGATCACGTATCCATGTATCCGAATTATTCAATTGTTCTATTATATTTTCGGCCTGTCGAATCATGGAATTTTAGATATTTTCGATTCCTCGGATTCTGGAGTCGACTCCTTTTTTTTTTATATTTTCCAATCTTTTTTGTGGGTTACATATTTCTGAAATATTTTCAGATTATTCAATCTAAAAGTCTCAAAGGTTATCGAATTATAATATAATTTTATATTTTACACAGTTCGTTTAATTCGATAATCATATTCAAAACGATTCTAGAATTCTAGAATTTTTTACACTATAATTAAAACAATGACATGCTATTAAATAAACAGAATTTATTTCCAATTATACACGGAAAGAATTTTATGTTAGAATTTATCCTGAAAATAATGGTGATCGTGAGACAATATATGATTTTGGAAGAATTTTATAAGAGTTTCTCTGTGATTAATATTTACCGCAATAAAAATATTAATAAATGTATTAATAAAATTAATCAAACACATTTTATATCTTATTGTGACAGATATTAATATTTTTATTATGGTAAATATTAATCAGAGAAACTCGTATAAAACGATTACCATGATTTTCAGGATACAAATTCTAAGGATAAATTCTCTCTGTGTATAAATGAATAAATAATTATAGATAAAAATTAGCAATTATACAACGATCACATATCCATATATCCGGATTATTCAATTGTTCTATTATATTTTCGGCCTGTCGAATCATGGAATTTTAGATATTTTCGATTCCTCGGATTCTCGAGTCGACTCCTTTTTTCTTATATTTTCCAATCTTTTTTGTGGGTTACATATTTCTGAAATATTTTCAGATTATTCAATCTAAAAGTCTCAAAGTTTATCGAATTATAATATAATTTTATATTTTACACAGTCCGTTTAATTCGATAATCATATTCAAAACGATTCTAGAATTCTAGAATTTTTCACACTATAATTAAAATAATGAGATGCTATTAAATAAACAGAATTTATTTCCAATTATACACGGAAAGAATTTTATGTTAGAATTTATTCTGAAATTAATGGTGATCGTGAGACAATATATGATTTTGGAAGAATTTTATAAGAGTTTCTCTGTGATTAATATTTACCGCAATAAAAATATTAATAAATGTATTAATAAAATTAATCAAATACATTTTATATCTTATTGTGACAGATATTAATATTTTTATTATGGTAAATATTAATCAGAGAAACTCGTATAAAACGATTACCATGATTTTCAGGATACAAATTCTAAGGATGAAATTCTCTCTGTGTATAAATGAATAAATAATTATAGATAAAAATTAGCAATTATACAACGATCACATATCCATATATCCGGATTATTCAATTGTTCTATTATATTTTCGGCCTGTCGAATCATGGAATTTTAGATATTTTCGATTCCTCGGATTCTCGAGTCGACTCCTTTCTTTCTTATATTTTCCAATCTTTTTTGTGGGTTACATATTTCTGAAATATTTTCAGATTATTCAATCTAAAAGTCTCAAAGATTATCGAATTATATATAATTTTATATTTTACACAGTCCGTTTAATTCGATAATCATATTCAAAACGATTCTAGAATTCTAGAATTTTTCACACTATAATTAAAACAATGACGCATGCTATGCTTCTTTTTCTTTTGCTGTGCACTATATCATTATTATCACTATTGCTCTTTTTCTTGATATAATATATAGCCTGTATTCCCTGTAATATACTATTTGTCTGCAATATGTATTTTTCGCCGCTTGCAAATAAATATTGAATTCCCTATTTCACTCCGTTTATACATAAATCACATTTTTCCAGACATCCCGCGTGTAAATATTCAGCATGCGTCGAGAGTACGAAACGAATTTCCTTCTCCGCAATAATTTCTCACAAAGTCCCCGGAAAGAAATAAATTGAATGACCGCGAGATATAATTTTCACTGCGATATCTCTTCAGCATGTCGCCGCGCAACGGCTCCTGCGTGGCGGAAGTGAGCTCCGTGAGGAGTCTGTCGTCGGACGACATTTCGGGGACCAAGGCGAACCGGAAGAAGTCGTGCTGGGCCCGCGCGACCGATCCGGCCCACCGTCGCGGTCGACGGATCCAGCTGCTGCAGATGCTGGTGCTACCCTTCATACCGATCCTCGCCCTGATCGTGCAGACCGCGAACACCCTCCACGACATCCTGATCTATCGTCAGGAGGTGTCCGACATAGAGTCGCAGGTGAGCAAAAGTAGCCGTAATGCATTAGGGATTCGAAGCAAAATCATATATTTCTCATATTATTTTATATTTAATATTATATTTAATATTATACGTAATATTATATAGATAGATAGATACTGTATTATTCTCTCCCTCGGGGATTAAGGGCGCTTTTTAGAGAAGCGTACCCGAACCTCGGGGATTAAAGGCGCTTTTTAGAGAAGCATGCCCAAATCTCGAAGCAAAATCATATTTATAGAATTATTATTAATATTATTTAATACTATATGTAATATTATATTTAATATTATATATTTTATATTAATATTATATATTTAATAGTTAAATTATATTTAAATATATATATAATAATATATATTAATATATATATATATATATATAATATTATATGTATAATAATTTATATTAAAATATTATATAAAGAAAGACCAGATTCCGAACCAAAATTACTTCAGTTTCGATAGATTTTTCTCTCTACAGAGTAAAGAAAATATTATTTTATAAAATTCCGACTCGACTTTGAGAGAGAAAATGAAAAAATACATTTTGTTTTAATATTTTTCTCAACAGAACATCATTTGCGAAAATATTTAAATTTTTATTCATCAGCGATACACATTTTACATTATTGCTATTAATATTAATATCAATAACAAGATTTCTCGCTCATCTCTTAGTAAAAAGCATTTGTTAAAATGAAATTTTTCAATCAACATTTTGTCCCGACGTAAAATTTATATTTAAAAAAAGAAGATTTTACTCTGTTGGATAAAAACTGCAATAATATTATTCGAATGTGTTCCTCATGACTGAATATAAATTTAGAGATGTAAAACAAGTTAATTCTATTCCGATTCGAAAACATGATTATTAATCAGTTTTGCCTTCTTATACTGAATGTACATATTTATATAATACTTTAAACTATAAATCATAAAATTAATCGCAACATTTTTATTTTCTATTAATTTCTTATCATCTGATACGAAAAAGAAGTAAAATATTAAAATTAATATTAATATCGATAATGTAAACATTCTAAAAAAGGTTCTTTAAAGATTCCATATTTTAACATAATTTGAGTAATTAATTAAGACGTGTCTTATAATTAATTATGGGCTTCGCCGAGAAATTCTAATTTTATAAACAATTATTTCTCGACATTGTCTAAAATAAAGGGCGAAAATAAGGCACACGTGCGTATGCATTGCGCCCTGATAATTATGTAAAGAGCGCAATTAGGCTGGGTCGGTATAATTTACCGGTGATCGATCGAAAATAGCAGTTCGTTTAAAAGTAACAAGAGAAAGAGAAAGAGAGAATGAACAAATATATCACACCTACAGTATTTTTACGTTCTCCGGATAACGTTCATATAATCCTCGCCGCCTCGCAATTAATTGCCTTAATCCTCTAATTTTTAAATTGCTATTAACTCTAAAAGGGAAGGGCTCCCTTTTTCTCTCCCTCGCTATATCCATTTCGGTCTATTATAATAATTTATTTAATTATTTAAACTTATCCGTGTGTATACGCGTGTGTTAAGTTTATACATTGCGGGAGAGACACATATTTTCCATTTCATAAATTAAATCTTCTACTTCGACGATCCGGAGATATATAGTATATTAAATGTCTCTTTCCGCGGCTTTCTCTGCTAAAAATATTTTCTCGGACACTCGATCAGGTTTTCCATCACGCTAAACACAGGAAACAGAGAACTGACTGGAGATATTCAACGAGGTCGCTCAATTTCCTCCGATTTTTCGCTAAAAACAGTCAGATAAAAATGACGAAGACCTCACGTGACAAATAAATAACTGAAGCATACATTTCTCCTTCTCAAAATATCACTCTGTTTTCAAGCTCGAGTTGCAATCATTAATTTGCAAGTCCTCGATCGCCACCGTGTATGCGCCTGGAGGATTTTTTCCAGGGGGATAATTACATTTTTTTGTTTCTTATATATTTTTTGTTCTTCCTTAATTTTTTGCTATTTTGTTATTTTTAATTTTTTTAATATTAAATGTGCAAATAAATTCCAGTGTTGTTTAATTTGTTTCTAATTCCAAGGGGGAATCTCCCATCGAATGCTCATTCTTTCTTAAGTTTTTGAAAATTTAATTTTTTCGCTATTTTATTTTTATTTTTTTTTAATATTAAATATGCAAATGAACTCCAGTGTTGTTTAATTTGTTTCTGATTCCAAGGGGGAATCTCCCATCGAATGCTCATTCTTTCTTAAGTTTTTGAAAATTTAATTTTTTCGCTATTTTATTTTTATTTTTTTTAAATATTAAATATGCAAATGAACTCCAGTGTTGTTTAATTTGTTTCTGATTCCAAGGGGGAATCTCCCATCGAATGCTCATTCTTTCTTAAGTTTTTGAAAATTTAATTTTTTTGCTATTTTATTTTTTTTTTTTTAAATATTAAATATGCAAATGAATTCCAGTGTTGTTTAATTTGTTTCTGATTCCAAGGGGGAATCTCCCATCGAATGCTCATTCTTTCTTAAGTTTTTGAAAATTTAATTTTTTTGCTATTTTATTTTCATTTTTTTTTAATATTAAATATGCAAATGAATTCCAGTGTTGTTTAATTTGTTTCTGATTCCAAGGAGGAATCTCCCATCGAATGCTCATTCTTTCTTAAGTTTTTGAAAATTTAATTTTTTCGCTATTTTATTTTTATTTTTTTTTTAAATATTAAATATGCAAATGAATTCCAGTGTTGTTTAATTTGTTTCTGATCCCAAGGGAGAATCCTTCGGATGCCTATATGTATTCACCGTTTCTATCACGAAAATAGCGACTGAATAGTAGACTCGGAGACCGATCTCGCTCGCTGCAGACCACGGGCTATTGTCATTGAAAATGTCGGGCGCTCGCTGAAAATCGCGCCGAGATTCGATTTCCGATCGGCGCAGCGCAGCGGCAGAAGAAATTACGTTACAGCCGTTCTCTCGCGCGCGACGAGCCGGCTATTTTTATTTTATTCTCTCACGCACGTTCGGATTATCGACTCGCGCGCATATACACACGCCGCATCGTCGCCCTTTTGCCACTTCGTGGCGAGAGGGGCGCGTGCGAAGGGATGATGAATTAAAATAAGAAGAGCGCGAAGCGATTGGAGAGAAGAAGGGGACAGTGACGTAATTGATTTAGCTTGCCCTCGTGCGAGGAATCTAATCTTAGGATATCAAAATTATATCTTACAGAAAATCTCTCAATTATTATTTACCCTTCTTTTATTTTTTTCTCTGTCTCAAATTTTAAGTATCAAATTCAAGTTCCACGTCAAAAATTGTATTATTCTGGAAAATCTTTTAATAGTAAATTTTTGAAAATATCGTTAAATATAAGAAATATATCAGAACTATAATATATGTATAAAAATAATTAAAAATAATTTTTGTAATTATGTCTGTATTTAATTTAGAAAGAAGAGTGAATTTTAATGAGCGAATCGTCTCTTGAATGTAAATTATTAATATCGCGCCGCATTTTGCCTCGTGTCGTCGTAAAAAAAAAAAATTTCCACGCTCCACCTAATCGATCATCTACAACGATATTAAACGTGGCCCTCCTAGGAATAAAGGGTAGATCAAATCGAAATTCATCGCACAGCGGGATGTTAACTGCACGGTCTTCGATCTCGAGTTACTTGTTTGACGAGCGTCGAAAGAGTGGACGTCATATGTCGTATGTTTGCGATATCGTCCTCGCGCACTTGTAGACCGACGAGTGTTTCGCACACATCGATGCATCCTGCACCCCCGACACACCCTTTATAATTTAACACGCCGCGAAGAGCCTCTGGAAATTTTTTCTTCGTCTCTCGAACTCAATTCTAAAAATTCTATGTTTTTTTTTCATTTTCTCGTGCCACACGAACTCATCAAGTTAATACAATTTACATTTAACGTTATATAAATTATCTTTATCAAAACGCTTTGAATGAAAACTGAAGGAAAATTTTAGAATGTTTTTTCATGAAATAAGCAGCGCGAAAAATAATTTGTGGTAGGTATTGAAAAAGTATGGTTTCAAAATTTTATTAAATCGAATATTTAAAAATCCATATAGAGACAAGAATTTAATTTTTTATATAGAAAAGAAATATTTGCTAAGATATAGAATTCTATACTTGAATTGGAAGTAATCGAGATCAATTTCAGAAAAACCTCAGAAACCTGAGATAACTGCAGATTTCATCGAAATTCAATATTTTTTTTTAATAAAAAATCATTAAATTGAAAATTCTAAAATTGAAAATACATATAAATAGAATATATATATAAATATAGTAATTTTATATAATAAAAGTATATTTTAAATTAAATATAGTAATTTAAAATCATATCAGCAAAGTCTTGTTGAGTTCATGTTCGTCCTGACACTTATTCTTCCCACAATTTGCCAGAATCTCGTCAGTGCAACGATGATAACCTGCTTGAAGCACCAAAGCTTAAAAAGTTCGTGGCACGCTAGCAAAGCCTCAGATTATTTCACTATGTATAACGCTTTATTGACGGAAAGTTGTTGGAGAACTTTCTGCTATAGTTTACGAAGAGGTGTTCGCAGCCGAGAATTTACGGGGATCCTTGAAAATGATTCGCGACGAGAGCTCTTATTCGAGAAGGCGAGAAGATACGCCAACGCGCTTGTGTATTTACGATTGTGAAATATAATTACGCTATAAAATTTGTAGCCACACTAATAATTATCCCCGTAGCGAGGATCTCGTAAAACGATTTTATTTCACCGGCACCATTAATGCAATATTAATTAATGTCGGTAGATCGAGAAGGCACCAAGGACAGCTTCTCGAATACGCGCTCTTAGATTGATGAAATTTCTTCTAGCGATCGAGGAAAGTTAAACCGAGAAGTTCCAAGGGATCCTGACAGTGGAGATTTATGATACCTAAGATCCGTCCCAAGACGCGTCTCTCCAAAAAATCTATACGATCGAGAATCTACGCAATCTAATATCTCTGCAAATAATAATTGATAGAATTTAAAATCTATATAATAAAAAAAAACTGCGGAATATTCTTGTACAGTTGAAAAATTTGTGTTAAATTTAATAGATATCATAGGTATATCCCAAACTGTCTGCAGAAATTTTTATGTTAATTTAACATAACACACATGGCTATGTTAATATTTTAACACAAAATAAATGTAAAACTTCAAATAATTTAAGAGAAATTTTGTGTAAAATTAATACAGTTTTAATGTAAAAATTAACTAAAAATATGTTAATTTTAGATTTTATCATCCCTACTTATATAAAATAAAAAATCAAAATTTTTATAACAGGTAAATCTTGTCACCAATAAAACAGAACATACATATTTATTGTGTAAAATTAAAAATAAATACACATTGTGTTATCTTTACATCTTTTTTCAGTTGTTTTAATAATTTAACATTAAGTTTATTTAACAGCAATATGTTAAATTAATACATAAATGTATATTAAATATTTACCACACAAATTTTAACGAAGACCATTTTTGAACAAAAAAACACAAATTTTGCTACTGTGTGGCACAAAGAAATAAAACGATATTTAAAATCCGAGAATCAAAGGAAAGGTATAGGAAAAGTTGAGAAAAGCGTCTCACCGAGATATTTCCTCGCTCGCGAAGAGTGGCAGCGGCTATTCAAGACACTCGGGACTTGAAGTAGCCACTCAATGTACGTTTCACGAATATACGTCCGTCGCACTTACAAGGTCTACTCGAGCCTTACAATTAGTCCTGTCTTCTAGCGGAAGTTCCGCGAGGACACCCGTAATGCCATTATCCCGGCAACAAGACAACTCTTCTTCGTAGGCACAAAAGAGCGAAGGACAGTCCTTTATTAAATGAGCGATCGATTTTTTTTTAAACCACATTGCATTTTTTCCCGACAAATCTCATCTAATTCTGACATGTGCGTATATCCCGATCGGTGATGATTGCAGGTGACGATAGCTACGGATCTGGGCAAAATGGTCACCAGGATGCAACTGGAAAGATCAGAAGTAGCCTTCTTCATCTATACCAACGGTAACACCCTGAGGTACGTATTTTTCTAATAATTTTCTCTTATAGAATTTACATTTTTCTAAATTTATTTTTTGTCTTATATAAGTTTTTTTAATCTTTCTCCGTCCTCCTCAATAAAACTTTGTAATATAATTATATTAAAATATGAGAAAAGAGGGGCTAATTAAGAGCTAAGTGTGTTAATGATATGCGAAAATATGGAAATTTACATTTCAAAAGTTATTTTTTATTTTCACATACATGTCCTCTGTTTTAGACTTTCTTCAACATCCTATTTTTCTGAGTTTCGAAACTGGTTGCTCAAAATCAGTCGTAGTTGTATCTTGAGTCTGAATCACGAAGACTGCTAGATCCACCCGTTGGGTCGCTGTCTAAAGGTGGAATATTAGAATCACGATCGTTCTACTTAAGTATTATGGTTACTGCTGATAAGTACAAATGCTCTCATCAGTTCTGATAGTGCTCAAGAAGTTCCATCTTGTAGTTATCAGCAGTAACTATAAGTTACAACGATCGTGATTATAATATTCCACCTTCGAACAGCGACCCAAGGATGTAACAGTCTTCGGACAATGATGCTGAAGATACAACTATGCCACCTTGTAATTCGCAGTTACCCAAAGATGAAGCTTTTGAGCAACCAGCTTCGAAACTCGGGAAAATAGAATGCTGAAGAAACAAAGGACCGAAACGTATATGAAAATAAAAAATAATTTTCATATATGTTAGATGTAAATTTTCATATTTTTTCGCGTATCATTATATACCACGCTTGGCTCTTAATTAGCCCCTCTTTTCTCATATTTTAATTCTTATTAACGGAGCCATATATCAAATAATATAATTATATATTAATATATATATATTATATAATATAATATATATATATATTATATATATTATTATATTAATATATATTATATAATGCATATTATATTAATATAATTATATTACGAAGTCTTCTTGAAAAGAACGGAGAAAGATAATTTAAAGAAAAACTTATATAATATGAAAATTAAAATGTATAAATGTAATATAACATATTATATAAAATAATCTAATTTTTTAAGTTAATTTTGTTCTTGAAACATTTGATTAAACAAGAATGTTTCGCATTATCATTCAATTTAAAAATCTTTTTTTATAACAAAGTTTATGTCTTCTTCATCAACATCAGGCGCTCGTTTATATAATAATGCAATTTAATTCTTGTTCAGTCTCTTCTTTTCTTTTTTCTATACATTTTCGATACGCTTCGTGTAATTATCGCTCTACCGGAGCAGTTTTAAACTCTTGTTGATCCAACCACGTGCCTCGAGCGAGGAAGTGCATTTCTTCATCGATCGAGGGCAAGAAAAGCTCTCTCCGTCGTATTTCGCGTGATGAGAACGGATGACTTCCTTATTCATTCTTGCAATCGAAATGCAACACGTTTCTACAAAACAAACGCCTCGCGGAATACCGAAGTAGACGCGAACAATTTAAAAAAGCTTGGAAAGCTTTGTTTCTCTCGAATCGATGAAAAGTAAAGCGTTCGGCGGTTTTACTTTAAAGCGCCCTTTCCAACTTTTTGACAAACTTTTTTCTCGCAAAAACTCAACTTTTCATGTTTTTCCTACAGAGTTACGTAAAGAACAAGTGAAAAGAATCTAAAAGTATATAATTAAATGTTTAATCAACAGAGTTAAGGTAGCAAATTTAATCAGTGCTAAATATATATATATATATAAGACTTTTTTAATTTAGATGGTTCTAGATTTATTCTATACTTTCGTCATGTTTCTTTTTATTGCACAATAGGAAAATTTGTGTTTTCTTGTTAAAAATGGTGCCCATTAAAATTTTTGTGTTAAATATTGCACGCATTCATGTGTTCATTTAACATATTGCTGTTAATTAAACTTAAATATTAAATTATTAAAACAACTAAAAAATATGTACAAATATAACACAATGTGCATTTATTTTTAATTTTACACAATAAATATATTCTATTTAAATTAGTGACAAAATTTATTTGTTAAAATTTACATGAAAAAAATGTTACTTTTTCATTTTATAATATAACTGAAGATGATAAAATCTAAAATTTTTAGTTAATTTTTTACACAAAATTTATTTCAAATTACTTGAAATTTTGCATTTATTTTATGTTAAAATATTAACATATCTATTATATTAAAATAACACAAAAATTTCTGTCGATCGTTAGGGACACGTGATATCTATTTTTAACACAAATTTTTCAACTGTGTGTTAATCATCGCAATCACGAATATAATTTCTATCACTTATACGCTCGTGATGTTCTTTTAATTAATCGATCGAATAAAACAATATTTATATAGTTTCCTAATATCCGCGTCAATCTCTGTGTTGGGCAAACCAGGTCGAATCTGACGCAGAGATTCACCATAACCGATCGGGATCTCCACAACATGAGCACGTGGCCGCTGGTATCCGTACCCAGGGATGAGAGCAAGACGCAGACGTACGACGTGGTGAGCAAGGAGGCCTTCCAGGCACGCCTGGAGGATTTTAGGTAAATCTGATCGATCCTCCCCGAAGGTCATTCGAGCATTGCCCGACACAAAGGCAGCCGACAACCGTGAAATTGCGGTCGCAAAATTCTGACTATACCTCATTAGATTGATCCACCTGCGCCATTTCACTCGGACGACATTCGAGTAATTGTCGGACCAGGGATGCGTGGAAAAGACGAGGAAAAATTTACGAGAGAGGGAGTTTTCAAAGGAAAAAAAGAAGACCCTTAAAAAAATCCGAGATTTTTAACTTCAGTCTCTCCTTTAGTCGCTCTTCAACGTTGATTTAAATAAATATTAACAGGGTGTGCAGCAGACTCAATGAAAAAAATTCCCTGACTTTTTCAGATTTTTTAAGACCAGAAATTAATTAAGAATTTAACAAGGCTCTGTAATATAAATATAAATTGAGAGTGTCAAACAGGCGATAAGAGCCAAATCGCGGATGACAGTGCGTTATCCTAACGAAACTACAATAAATTTTTTTGTTAGGATTAAAAACCTGTGCACAAGGCACTAAATTTTACTTGGTCACGGCCAAGATTTCAAATTGGAATAATCTCTACAAGAGATTTAATTCCACACATTCCCTGTTTCCCCTTTAAGGAAATAAATGCGAGAGAAAAAGAGGGTTCGAATCCCGATTCAGCGACTTTCAGATCTATATTTTTCTCTCGCATTTATTTCCTTAAGGGGGGAATAGGGGATGTGTGGAATTAAATCTCTTATAGAAATTATTCCAATTTGAAATCTTGAAAAAATTTAGTTTCGTTAGGATAACGCACTCTCATCCGCGATTTGGCTCTTATTGCCTGTTTGACACTCTCAATTTATATTTATACCAGAAATTAATTTTTTCCCTGATTTTTTAGTATTATTTTTTCTAAATATATAATTTACATATATCTATATAATAAATCAATTAAATGTTAAATCATAAAATTCTTGCGATATTTTTGTTAACAATAAAAAGGTTCGGAAGTTAAAAAAACAAAAATTTAAATCAATTACAATCTACATTATGTATGATAATCGAAACAAACATGTCACTAGAAATTATTAAAATAATCACCTATTTTATTTATATTATATCAAATTTTTTAGTTTTGTCTCTATCAAACACATTGAAATAAAATAACACGATGATGAAAATATAAATTAACGAACACGCTGTAGATTAATTGATTGAACTTTTAACAACACAGAAAATTAGCATGCTGGAAGTCAAGAAAAAGTTCATATTTATTTAATAAAAGATTTCAATTATTGAGACAAATGTAGAATAATGTGAAAAAATCCAGATAAATATCCAGATAAATGCAGTAAAATTCCCTGACAATGCCCGGTTTTCCAGATTTTTCTGACCGTTAGACACCCTGATTAAAAATCTCAAAAGAGTAAGTAGAGCTGGATAATAAAAAAGAGCGGTCTAATATCTCTCATAAATATATGTGAAAAATTCTTCAAGTCAAGAGAATAAAATTCCAGTCACGGCAATTTCTTAGATGGGTATTGTACATTTTCGTGCACGAGAGAGAGAGAGAGAGCGATCTTTACGTAATTAACTTAAAAGGTTGCCTTCTGTTCCCTTTCGCGCTACATATAAGTTCGCTCCGCTAATTACGCGATAATTACGCCGCGCGATGGGCGGCGACGCGACGCTGTTCACAGACGGTAATTATTAAGACAAATTGCGGCTCTCTCTTTCTCTCTCTCTCTCTCTCTCTGCGAGTGGTATCGCTTTGAGCGTTAGTGCCTATAAACGACGGTTAATTCTCGTGTTAGCTTTACCCCCTTATTCCGGCCTCGCGCAACTGCAGCACTCGGTATGGAAAGTTACGGCGGAAGCCGTTCCCTCGAACCCTCGTCCTGACACTTGTTGAATTTCCATTCAAACTACTAGTAGGGAATTCTCCTCTCTCTTTCTCTCGCCCCGTATCCCATCTGTAAATATTCGCACAGAGACATCGAGTCGGGTCCTAACCCCGAGAACAGGGGCTCCTAATATTTGATCGAGTGCTCGATATCGCGCATAGAAAGGCGATCTACGAAAGAGGGTAAATATCCTCTTAGGAAATATACACACGCGATGTACCAGTTCTTTTCAATTTAATTCTTCGAATGTACATGGAAAAAAAATTATTAAATTGATAAATATTTACTTGAAACAAATAAATATATGTATTTGTTTTGAAAAGGATTTTCTTTACATCAGATAAATACTTTTCAATATTATTAGTTGTGAGGAAATAATTTATTAGACAGTATTGAAATAAATATTTATTCGAATTCAATTTTTTCAGTGTAGAGTAATTTTTAACATTTTTTTCCTTTTAAATACAATGTATACACTGAAAACAAATTTGTTAACTTAACTAAAATTTTCAACTATAAATATTATTTTGTTAATTGAACATATACAAATATTTAAATTAAATATAATATATTAAATTTAACAAACCGTATATTTGATTTAATATTAATATATGTTTAATTAACAAAATAGTAATTTAGTTGAAAGAGATTTAGTTAAATTAACAAATCTTTTTTTCAGTGTACAAAGACCTGGTAATTTTCTTATTTCGCGCAAAATTTATGTCAAGAATTAAAAAAAAAAAATGACACGACGAATAAATAATGTACAAAATTCTCTCGTTATCGAGAAAGAATAATTTATCCTTGACCTAATATTATAATTTTTGTCTACATACGTACGTACACGAAAGTCTCGGAATTTTCAACGTAGGCGGCGTGATTCGATAATGGAGGGCGGTGCGATATTTCATCGTTAATGTTGCACGCGCGTCGCACGGGAGAAACCCTCGGCAACAGGGGGTGGTATATCAAATGGTACATCAAACGTAAGATAACGCGTCGCAGGATGCGACGAGGTCGTCGTCGCGATCGTATTTTCTCGCAAAAGGAAATATAGGACAGAAACAGGCGGAAGAGGGTGAAAAAAAAAAACGCGAACGAATATAATTTTTCCCAAGAAAATCATGTCGACGTTGACGCGCGAAAATACGCGGAATTTTTTATATACTTACGTACATATAACGACGTGCTTTCCTTCCGAGAAAATGACGAAATACGGTTGCCTCAATATTTTACGCAACATAGTGCACATAGAGGTCTTTTTTATATTTTCCGTTGAAAAAGAGAGACGAAGCGTATCTAATAAAAAAATGCGCATACACACACACACACGCATGCTTTTAACGAGACAAGCTTGTCGAGGCGAAAGATTGCGATAGGAAAAAAATTAATTATTTTTAATTAGGATCTTAGGGGCTTTAATTAGACTGAAGAGACTTTGTCGCGTTTTCGCGTGATGGAGTCCAACCAGTGATCCCTTCGCGAAAATATATTGTATCGACGAGCTGAGGTGAAGCCTTTGCGATTGCAGTATAGCTTTTTGCTGGTATCGTTTCGCTTTGAAGTTTTGAAGAATGGAATTTTTCGACGATGAAAACGGCGAACGCGATGGCTTGTCGTTTAACATTTCGCTGACATTTAAACGACGGTAAATGTTGAAAATAGTTACGAATTTTTGAATAGCGACTTAAATTTCTTCTTTTCTTTCAGAAAAATGAAATTGTCACACAATTTTTTTTAAATTAAAAAAATTTGTTTAATTAAAAATTTAATTTTTATTTCAATTTAAAATTGTCACTATATACAAAATTTCAAAGGTTTTAAAAAACAAAGAGCAAACTCTTTTGCCTTTTGCATAGCGAAAAACCAACGAAAAAGTCTCCCAATTAAAAATTTGTCAATCTTTGTCAATTTGTGATCTTTTAATTTAAGATTAAAAAAGAATTCCATCACATGCGCACACTTTTATCGTCGCTTTAACTCCTGAGCGATTTAATTAACGTGATTTTGGCGCCGATGAAGCCGAGCGACAGGCAATTTAATCGGAAACGCCCACCCATAACACATCTGTCGATTAATTCTTTTCCTATCGTCTAATTATATATGTGTAACGAGAGGGTCAAAAGGCGTGGCGGAGACGAGCGAGAAGCGTGTGCACACGCTTTTATAATAGCACCTTCGGCGTGTCGCATTCGACTTGTCGCATCGATCGATGATAAAAATATTTAACCCTCCCTCCTTGCTCGGAAAAAGAGAGAGAGAGAGAGAGAGAGACAGAGAGATCTCGTAAAATCGAATGCAAATACTCCTGACGATCCTTTTAACTGTCGACGTGCCGTGAATGCGGATGTTCTCGGGATATATTCATATATACATATATACATATATATAATATATATATATATATATATATATATATATATATATTTTCTAACTATATATTTTAATAAATTATATATTTTAATTTTAACTATATATATATATATAGTTTTGAGGGAAATATTCTCATATATATATATATATATATATATATATATATATATATAATATATATGAGAATATTTCCCTCAAACACATTAACGAAACGATCGAGATATAAAATTTCCGAATCGCTTTCTCTCTCTCCCTCTGTCTCGGAATATTACCGGAATAGAAGAAAAGATCTCAGATTCTCAGATATATATTTTATTCAAATCCTTCAATTATTCCAGCAGCGTATCCTCTCGTCCGGACGCGACCGTTCGGAAAATATTTTAAAATATTCTGCTATATCGTCGCGTCTATAATTTCCGACTAATCGAATCGCAGGGTATCGAGGGAAGAGAAATTCCGAGGTTCTTGCGACTTTTTCGATCGATTCCCGCAAAACGAGGGAAACAATGATCTTTTCTTTCTTTCCCGAGGTAGATCAGATAACTGTGTCACTTTACGAATCGCGGCGATTTTCAACGTGTCTCGCTCGAGGCAATATTTATAAAAGGCACGTTTTTCATTCCGAGCACGTGTCCAATAAATCGATATAGTTAAAGTATCGATATATAGGGATGAGGGCCGATGGCACTTTTGCACCCATCAAGACAGAATATTTTGTGCAACGCGACTCTCTCTCTTTCTCTTTTGCCTG